GGCGTGGCGTGGCTTGGTGGGCATGGCAGGGGAAGGATACTGTAAAATCTCCATTCCCACCCAATCAGCTGGGACTTGGGAGGCAGAGAGTAGATGGGGGCGGGGCCAGTCAGGGGTGGTATTTACCAGTTCTCCGAATTACTCAAAATTTCCACTACTGGTTCTCCAGAACTGGTCAGTATCTGCTGAATACCACCTCTGAAGCACAGATCCTGGGGGCCAACTCCCCTGATTTAGAAGAGCTAAGGTGGCGCAGTGGTCGCACTACTGCAGGCTACTTCAGCTGACTGTTAGCTGCAGTTCGGCAGTTCAAATTTCACCAGCTCAAGGTTGACTCAGCCTTCCATCCTTCCGAGGTGGGTAAAATGAAGACCCAGATTGTTGGGGGCAATATGCTGACTCTGTAAACCGCTTAGAGAGAGCTGTAAAAGCACTATGAAGCGGTATATAAGTCTAAGTGCTATTGCTATTTAGGAAGTTGTCACATTTATTAGACTCATCGCTCAACAATGGACTTTCCAAGGAAAGCAAAACATAGCTGTGGCAAGTTCATGACATTTATCATTCACAAGAATCAAATAGGAAAAAACACCACTTCATAATTTTGCTAATATAGTTTTCTTTGCGACTACCAACAAACACCATTTTGCAATTTATCCAAGTAACCTTAGAAACCTTACATTGCCTAAGCTAGGTCCATCTTAAACTGGCTGTAGCTGATTGCTGACTGTAAGATCAGGAGCACATATTGGATGCTGGCCACAAGAGCATGGGAAAAAAGAGAAAAAGCTACCTTATCTCATTTTTCATATGAAAATTTAAATGCGACTGTTGCCTAACTTCAAACGATTTTGGTGCCATGATTCAGGAGGAAAAGTTCACTCATCCTTTATTCAAATTTTGTAACAAGGTTGCTGGTTGAACCATTCAGTATTCTTTCCTTCTGTGTTTGGCAACCTTCACTGCTAGCATCAAAACTATTTTAACTCCTGTTTCCTGGAAACTGGCCCCAAGCTAATGGAGAAAAAAATAGAGGAATATGGAGAAGTTGCAGGATTGAGAATAAACAAAGAAAAAACCAAAATACTAGCTAAAAACCTTACAGATAAACAGAAAAATGAATTGACAAGGAAAATAGACCTTCAGGTAGTAAAATACATGGGAATGGCAAAAAGAATAGCAACTATAAAAATGAATATCCTGCTGAAGCTACTCTTGTTTCAAACAATTCCTATAAAACTAGAGGAAAAATACTTTGATGAACTAAATATACAGGTGAAACTTGAAAAATTAGAATATTGTGCAAAAGTTCATTTATTTCAGTAATGCAACTTAAAAGGTGAAACTAATATATGAGATAGACACATTACATGCAAAGCAAGATAGTTCAAGCCACATTATCATCACATCATAATTGTGATGATTATGGCTTACAGCTCATGAAAACCCCAAACCCACAAAATCTCAGAAAATTAGAATATTGTGCAAAAGTTCATTTATTCCAGTAATGCAACTTAAAAGGTGAAACTAATATATGAGATAGACTCATTACATGCAAAGCAAGATAGTTCAAGCCACATTATCATCACATCATAATTGTGATGATTATGGCTTACAGCTCATGAAAGCTCCAAATCCACAAAATCTCAGAAAATTAGAATATTGTGAAAAGGTGCAATATTCTAGGCTCAAAGTGCCCCACTCTAATCAGCTAATTAAGCCATAACACCTGCAAAGGGATCCTGAGCCTTTAAATGGTCTCT